TGGTCTGCTGGAGATGGTCCCCAGCAGCCCAGGGACACCCGGAGCAAAGCCGAGGAGGCGTGGGACCCCTTCGCCTCCCCGGCTTTGCTCCAGGTGTCCCTGGTCTGCTGGAGACGGTCCCCAGCAGACCAGGGGTACTCGGAGCAGCTTTTCTTGCCCCGGAGGTCGAGGTGGCAGGACCGCTGTGCTCTGGGCGGTCCCGCTGCCTGCGAGCCCCGGGGCGAGAAAGCCCTGCTCTTAAGTGCGGATCCAACGTAAGTCGGATCCGCGTAACTCGGGGACTGCCTGTAATCCGAAAGAGAGGACAGTGTATAGGTAGAGTCCTTCCAGTGTTGAAAAGGACATCTTCTCTTTGGCTTCCTTGGCCAGATGGATTGCCAGTATTCCTTGGTCAGGTCATGAGTGGATAGAAACCAGGCTTTCCCCAATCAGTGAATGAATCAATCAATCTTCTCATGGCATCAAACTTGGACACCATGTTTAATTTTGGAAGTCATTCCAAAACCGCAGGCTGCAATTGGGCGTAGGTGCCAGGACAACTACAGGGCTGAATACAGGACTCCTCAATAACATTTTCCTAACCTCAATCTGGACTTCCTCTCATTTTGCCTCCAGGATCCAGTAGGGCTTAGCATTGACCTTCATTCCTGGATCTGTAAGAATATACTAGTAAACTTGGGTAGTTTGACCTGGCTTCACCAAGAACACATCACAATTCATGGACGTTAAGTCCATTAATGGCTATTAGGCAGGATGGGTAGGAATGGTGTCCTTCGCCTCTGTCAGAGGCTGGAAATGGATGACAGGAGAGGGATCACATGATGATTCCCTGTTCTGTTCACTCCCACTGGGGCATCTGGTATTGGCCACTGTTGAAAGACAGAATATTGGGTTATATGGACCTTTGGTCTGACCCAGTATGACCGTTCTTATGTTCTGTTCAATCATATTGATAACTTCCGCTTGTTGTTCAGGGGTCAACTTAGGGGATATTCCCACCTGCCTCGAATCATTTTCTTCTTGGGAAGGCACCCCCAGAGCGACCAATTGTGCTTCCTGACAGGGTTTCAACAGACTGATGTGACAGATCTTCTCTGTCTTACTGCAATCAGGTTATTGGACCTTATAGTTGACTTCTCCAATAACTTCCATTACTTCATAAGGCCCCTGCCATCTGGGACCTCAGTGCTTTGCTGTCCTGGTACTTCCATTCATAGAACCTTTGGATCGTTATGGTTGTTGTCACCCCAGATCTCAGCCTTCATCTAGGAGTAATCAGTAGCCACTTCCTCTGGCATATTCAAATAGGCCTTCACTGGCCCACTGATCTTGAGACCAAGCCTCCCGAAGGGCTGTCTTTTCGAAGGCAAGAAGATATGCATCCACAGTATCCTCCGCTGTCATCTTTTGTAGATAACTATTGGGCTGTATAGGCCATGTCCCATCTTGGCAGTGCATCTGAGCAGCCAGGGCTTCCTTTCTTGCTGTAGCTGTACTGACTCCTACTGGGCAGCCACATGGACCTTGGTAGCTTCCTGCTGTGCTGCAGTGGCCTGTATCAGCGCCTTTATTCTCTCTTCCATTCTTTATTAATAGTATTATTATTTAAGAGGGGGTGATTTAACCTGCCTTGGGAGGGTTCGCTGTGAAGCCTCGTGGCTGATCCCATTTTTGACACCACATGTGTCACCCATTTCTTTTCCTTGCAAGTCTCTGTTCTCTTTCCCCTTAGCAAGAGGGGCCTCAGGTATAGTATCCTCTATCTGTCGCATCCGGGCAGTCAGCCTCCCCCTCAGCAGAGGGTTAGACTTGTGGTCTTCCCCTGGGATAGGGAGCCCAGTCTCTCCTTCTGAAGCTGCTCGCTCCCCTGCTGACTCTGGCTTATTAGCAGCTTGTGTGTGTGTTTGCCTCTCTCTTACTCTCTCTCCTCCTCTCCACCCAACAGGAGGAACTTAAAAAAGATCTCAGACAGGCCTGAAGTGGAATCAGCTGACCATAATTGGTACATGGTAGCTCTGTCTCAGCTGATCCTGATTGACCCATTTCTATTTAACACAGGAGTGGGCTTGTACCCTTCTACAGCTGCCTTTTCCCATTCTATTGCACCCCTCTGGCCTGACTTTGCCATCACACTTATGCCAGTGTAAAAGAGATGTTGTGCTGGAAGTGTGAGCAGTAGTAAGACCACTGACTCTGCAGGCCTGGTCAGTTAACTCCAGGTGTTCAACTGCCCCATTCATGAGGCATAAGAGAGCAGTCGATAAAGCCGTTTCCTGTTGACTCGCACGCTGTGCCAACGATCAGCTGAGCCAGCACAGCGTGGTGGCCATTTTTATTTTAATGAAGCCAGGGGTATTTAAATCCCTGCTTTATTGACTATGTCAGGTAGCCTATTTTACATGCTTCTGTTGGCAGAGGCATGTAATCTAGAAGTACCCCATGATCACAGTTGGCAAATATCTGCAACACTAAAAAAATTCTGTTAAAAGAAACCTTTTCTTTCTTACCTTAAGCTGATAATACCTATGTAAACTTTGTTTGAAATGTAATCATGCAAATGTCATGATCAGGGCTCGACAATTAATGTAATCTACTCACCCGTGGCAAGTAGATTACAAGCTGGCGCAGCCGTGCAGCACTGTGCCGAACCGCGCGGCTGGTGAGCAGGACTCGCAGTGGCTTGGCAAGCCCTGGTCTTGATCTAGGTCTTTTGTGCCAGTATTCAAAAGCAGTCTAAAATCTTGTAACACACCTGAAATTTTGGTACCACCCCATACAGCCTGCCCCAGCCCATGAGAGAGCCCTATGTCTGCGCTGTACTGACACAGACAGCATTTGACTCTTGTAGCCTGCAGCCCAGATGGAAGCAAGTTAAGACAAACAAACTCCCCTCTATCCCCACCTCTCTGCACAGACATCAACACCCACCCACTCACCCACCCCTTCTTTCCCCCACCTATCACCATGCAATCTGCTACCCCCAGCCCCAGCCCAGGAAGCTAGAGGAGAGTGCTGGGTTTCCTCACAGGAAGCTGCAGGCAAACCCAGCTCCTGTAATCAGACCTCTATAATCAAACCTCTCCTCTACCAGACACCCAGCTGGGAGACTGCATGCTCCAAGCCTCTCTCCCTTCTGGCCCCCTCTGGCCCTCTCCCGTCCCAGCTACTTTCTCCCTCCCCTCCTCCTCATGTTCCCTTCTCTACTAGTGCACTTGTTGACTGGAGCAGGAACCTTCTGCTGCTGAGGGAGTGCCCCTCTCCAGTCAGGAAGCTCTCGATGAACAGCCATAAGGCTCTTGGCAGGGCTCATTAAGAAGCTGCGCCACTGCCCTATCGTACAGTTTACAGGGAACTTAGGTAATGGGGCATCATGCTTATTCCTCTGAGGACAGAATATGGGCAGTATGTTTTGTTATACGTTGTATGGATTCTTTTGGGACAACTTCAGTGAACTCTATGAATGGGATTTCCAAAATTGTTCAGTGTTGACCTAACTCTACTCCCACTGAGGTCAATAGTGCAGATTTAGGCCAAAGCAAAGCACCTTTCAAATCCCACCCTGTATGATGGGTTATTTTATTAGGCATTATGATGGGGCTCTGTTTATGTTAATGTATACTTTTTTAGCATTTTATGGTCTGAAAGTTGTGACTTGCTAACACTATCTTTTCTGGTTAAAAACAAATAATATATATAAGCAGGATTTAAACAAAGTTTCCCAGATACATTCGTAGCCTGCATAAGACCCTTTTTGCCCAGAATTTGCAGAAGTCGTTCCCACACTGATTTACCTACCAGCTGTGTAATTCAGCAAAAGCAGCTTTGATTTTCTTCACTGAATTATCTACTTCCTCTTTGATCATCATGCGGTATCTAGTTAAAGAAACTGTGCAACGTTGCAAATCTTTCACAGATTTTTCAATGTTTGGACCTAAAACAAAACAAAAAAGAGTACAAAAGTGAGCAACCTGAATGCTGTCCAATCTGGCGTGAAAAAATAAAGTATTTCAAAGGTTTGAGTAAAATTCAGGTCCTGCTTAAGGTGCTGTGAGTTTTTTCCATTTACCTAAATATGGTGCTTCCACTACTAAGAATATTAGACAAAATTCATCCTATTCCAGCCTCAGGATCAAAGTTATGACAAACGTTAGTTTTAGACCCTACACAGTCTTAAATTCCCAAATGACTCTTTGTGAATAAGCATGTCCAACAGAATATGGATAATCCTGCCCATGTTAGTTATGCGGATTCTGATTCTGCCCTCGCTCATATTGGAGTAACTTCAGTGAAATTGCCCTTGATTTATAGATCAGAAGCAGATCCACTAAATCTATGAAACCCCCCCAGTCAGAAAGATGAAAAGAGTAAAAAAAAACCACACAAGGGTCTTCAGTAAAAAGCAATCATCTCAGAAATCTTATTCCATGCGTTGCTTCTCCTCCTCATGTGAGCTCTTGACTCAGTCTTCTTGTGATGCACTGCAAATCTGATCAGCTCACCATACACAGACTGATGAATTGTAATCAGAAAAGACATCCACATTACCTCTTTTCTTCATTGAATCGTCTGGTTTCTTTTCAAGATGGGCTGCAGGAATGGATGATTTATTAGTGGATGTTTTTAACTTTGGTCTGCCTTCATTACACTGAGGTTGAACTGATGACTTTTGGTTTAAATCTACAGATATTCTTTTGTGCTCCAGGTTTTTTTCTGTAAGAGAACAACAAATAGTAAATAAAGACGTTACTAGGATTCTTTAAACAATGAAAAGTCCTGTGTCACCTTTAAGACTAAAAGATTTTATTGGGCATGTGTGTTTGTGGGTAAAAACCCTTTTGCCAGATGCATCTGATGAAGTGGATTTAACCTACAAAAGCTTATGCCCACTAGAATCCATTAGTCTTTAAGGTGTCCCAGGACTTCTCATTGTTTTTTCAGATACAGACTAACACAGCTCCCCACTCTGAGACCTGTCACTGTGCAAGACACTGAATTTACCAGTATGAAGTGGAAATCCATCAACTTCATGAAGAAACCTACACAGATAAGATTAATTGTTATTGGATTAGAATGTTTCTACATTGATAAAATGAAGTTTGTTTCACCAGTGAATAGCGTACAGAAAATCTAAGACTGATAGAACATCATTACTACAGCTCTATGATTAAGCAGATTTGATGTTCCACCAGTCTAAAAATTATAGATTTTACTTTTCTGTGATAGAATGGTATAAATATCTTATTCCATAAACTAAGCACTCAATTAACTGTAATCTTTCATCAAATATCAAAGGCTTGAATAAATCTGAATAAGGCTGGAATAACACGGGAGAAACAGCCCCAAAAGTTTGAAGTATGAAGGTGTGGTATGGAGAGTGCAGTGTTTATTTGTTTACAGGCGATTAGAGGGTATAAAGGATAAAGAATTGAACATACAGAAAAATAACCAACCTAGGAAAAATTGTATGTGTCTGTAGCAGCAAAAAAAATCAGCATTCAGAGTCATAATTATGCAGAATATAAATGCAAATGTTCACTTTCTCAGTTCAGGAGTGGGAGCTAAAAATTTCAGGATTATCTTTAATCTTCTGCAAGTCACATAGCCTCTCTGAGTCTCAATTATTGAAATTCACATAGCTTGCACTTTTAAAAAACCCTGTTTCTTATACCAAATAATTCTATTCTTGATGATTAAATAATACTTAATACAGTAAAACTCCATTGGTTGGGCATCCAATGCTCCGGCACTCCTGATGGTCCGGCACCATCGGGGACCCGGAAGTGCTTTGGCAGCCAGACTATTGGAGCTGCTCTGCGCCTGGCTTCCCTGATTCAGCCGCTGACCAGAGAGCAGCTGGGGTGCTGCTGGGTTGGTCCCGTTGCGCTGCCCCTCGGGGCTGCAGGACCAACCCAGCAGCACCCCAGCTGCTCTTGGGGATGCCAGCAGGAAAGAAAAAAACAGGCAGCAACAGGAAATAAAAAATAAAGCAAATTCAGTATAATATTGAGTTAATCAAAAACTACTAAAAATAAAAAGCAGCATTTTTCTTTCAACCATTAAAGTTTCAAGTCAATTTTCAGTTGTACACCTTTGAAAGAACAACCATAATACAGTATTTTGTTCAGAGTTATGAACCTCTGTTCCTGAGGTTTTACTTAAGATTCCTACTAGCCTAGTCCAGACCTAGCCTAGTAAACAGTCTCTAAACATGCTGCAACAAGATGTTGAAGTTCAATTGAGGAAATTCAGCAAAATTAAAGTAATTGGGGAAATTACATCAAATCACTACAGAACAGTGCCAGCTCAGGAACACGACCAACAAAGATTAGGGACCTGTGACTCTCACTAACATTGAAAAATCAATGACTTGAGTAAAAACTGCTAAATTGTTTTGTGACATTTGGAGTAAATTTTTTGTGACATTATGTATTTCATAAGGGCTTAGAACACTAATCATAGACTCCTCAGATTGGAAGAGACAACAGGAGGTCAACGAGTCCAACCCCCTGCACAAAGCAGGACCAACCATAACTAAATCATCCCAGCCAGGGCTTTGTTAAGCCGAGACTTAAAAACCTCTAAGGATGGAGAATCTACCACCTCCCTAGGTAACCCATTCCAGTGCTTCACCATCCTCCTAGGGAAATAGTTTTTCCTAATATCCAACCTAAACCTCTCCCACTGCAGCTTGAGACCATTGCTCCTCATTCTGTAATCTGTCACTACTGTGAACAGCCTCTCTCCATCCTCTTTGGAACCTCCTTTCAGGAAGTTGAAAGCTGGTATCAAATCCCCCCTCACTCTTCTGCAGACTAAATAAGCCCAAATCCCTTAGCCTTTCCTCATAAATCATGTTCTCCAGCCCCCAATCATTTTTGTTGCCCTCTACTGGACTTTCACCAGTGTGTTCACATCCTTTCTGTAATGGGGATTGGACACAGTACTCCAGATGTGGTCTTATCAATGCCAAATAAAGGCGAATAATCACCTCTCTAGGTCTGCTGGCAATGATCCTCTTAATGCAACCTAATGTTCCATGAGCCTTCTTGGATACAAGGGCACATTGTTGACTCATATCCAGTTTCTCATCCACTGTAATCTCCAGGTTCTTTTCTGCCAAATTGCTGCTTAGCCAGTTGGCCCCCACCCTGTAACAATGCTTGTTATTCTTCCATCCCAAGTGCAGTTCTCTGCACATGTCCTGGTTAAACCTCATCAGATTTCTTTTAGCCTAATCCTCCAATTTGTCTAGGTCACTCTGAACTCTATCCCTTCCTTCCAGTGTATCTATATCTCCCCCCCTAGCTTAGTGTCATCTGCAAACTTGCTGAGGGTGCAATCCATCCCCTCATTCAGGTCATTAGTAAAGATGTTGAACAAAACCGGCCGTAAAACCGATCCTTGGGGCACTCCACTTAATACCAGTTGTCAACCAGGCATCAAACGACTGATCACTACCCATTGGGTCTGACAATCTAGCCAGCTTTCTATCCACCTAACAGTCCATTTATCCAATCCATACTTCCTTAACTTGATGGCAAGGATACTGGGGGAGACTGTATCAAAAGCTTTGCTAAAGTCAAGGTATATCACATCCACTGACTTCCCCATATCATGAGAACCAGGGCCTGGAAGCTTACGTTAGCTGTCTGAAGAAAGTCTCATCTACCTGATCTTGAGGTCTGTAGCAGACACCAACCACAACATCACCTCTGTTGCTCCTGCCTCTAAACTTAACCCAAAGAGGCTTTCTTCCTTTATATATACTAGAGCTCTGAGCAATCATACTGCTCTCTTACATACAATGCAACACCTCCTCCCCTGCCTGTTCTTCCTGAACAGTTTATACCCTTCCATGACAGTGCTCCAGTCATGTGAGCCATCCCACATGACTGTTATTCCAATCACCTCATAGCTCTTTGACTGTGCCAGGACTTCTAATTCTTCTTGCTTGTTTCCCAGGCTTTGTGCATTCATGTACAGACACCTTAGATAACTAGCTAACTGCCCTACCTTCTCTGTATGAATCAGGGGTCCTCCTCTGTTGCACCTTCCTCCCTGTGTTAGTTCCCAGTATCCCACTTCCTCACTTACCTCAGGGCTTAGGTCACCATCCCCTGATGAACGTAGTTTAAAGCCCTCCTCACTAGGTTTGCAAGCCTTCTCACAAAGATGCTTTTCCCTTTATTCATTAGGTGAATCCCATCTGTTCCTAGCAGTCCTTGTGCCCGGAACAGCATCCCATGGTCGAAGAAACCAAATCCCTCTCTCCAATATCACCTGTGCAACCACACATTCACTTCCACAATTTGACAATCCCTACACCTGGATCTTTTCCTTTAATAGGGAGGATGTACGAGAACACCACTTGTGCCTCAAACTCCTTGATCCTTTTTCTCAGAGCAATATAATCTGCAGTGTCCCGCTCAAGGTCATTCTTGGCAGTATCATTAGTTCCTACATGGAGAAGTTTGAAGGGGTAGGAGTCCGAAGGTTTGATCAGTCTCAGAAGGCTCTCAGTGTTCCAGGTAAGCAGCACACTTCTTGAGAATCCCAGTCTAGATGGCAGATGGATGACTCTGTCCCTCTTAAGAGGGAGTCTCCGACCACCAGCATCCATCTCCTTCTCTTGGGAGTGGTGGTTGTGGAACCCCCATTCCTAGGACTATGCATCCCATGTCTTCTGGTCTCCTTCTGATCCCTTCCCTCAAACATCTCTGCCAAAGCATTCTCCACCATTGTACCTGTGCAGAGAGCCTGAAAGTGGTCACTTACCACTATCGGGATTGGGGATACCCGAGTATTCCTTCTTCTCCTGGAGGCCACATGCTGCCAATTTTCTTCCCTGTTCTGTACTGCCCTCAGTGGTTCTTTAGCATGCCGTGCCTGCAGTATTAAATGTTGCCTTCTATCCAGCAAGTCATCTTCTCTGATGGAATGTAGGGTTGATACTTGGGCCTCTAGTCCTTTAACCTTTGCTTCCAATATGGAGACCAGCTTGCACTCAGTACAGACAAAATTACTTCTATCTTCTGGGAGGAATACAAACATGGCACAAGCTGTGCAGGTCACAACAGCTGGTTTTTCACTATCCATTTTCCCTTCCTTCTGAGCAACTCCTCAGATGTTGTTTTTATTGCACTAATAGTCTAGTCTAAGAAGTGATCTTTGGTGTATTGATGGTTAAGTGTTTATCAGACCTGCAAGTAATGGAACCTGCTCACAGAAACTCACTGAGTCCCCAGCTGAGCCACAGACCACAAAAATGGGTGTTTTATCTTTTTTATAACACCTTGAAATTCAAAACCTTAAAAAATGCCTTGACAGAATCACATGCAAAGGAAAAGCCCTTAAGATCTAAACAGGTAGTTGGGGAAGTTGGCACAATTTGTCCTTCTGGTCTTCGAAACCCCTTTGTGTGTTGAGGATTTCATTGCTCAAGGAACTGAGTCAGAGAAGGGAGGCAGGGAAATTAAAGCTGCAGCCTCATCCACCACATGCTGAGGGGAGTGTAAAGAACTGTAAAGCAGAGGCCAATGTTCTCACTAGATCATAAGCATCTGATGGTTGCATAAGGGAATCCCCTTCCATTTCCACAAGTCCTGCCTAGACCCATGTCTTTGACAGGACAATTCAGAGGAAACTCCATGAATAAGAACTGGCAGAGTATTCTAGTACCTATGTTAGTAAACCTATCTAGGCACATTGGCCTCTGGCCTAAAAGATGATCTACCAAGTCACACCAGGTTTGTCATTGCCTAATTTCATTCATTCAAATTATATTTATTGGGCTTGAACAGCTGAAAATACATTTAAAAGGCCTCTAGTCTGGAAGGGTATGTCTACACTACCACCCTAGTTCGAACTAGGGTGGTTAATGTAGGCAACCAAAGTTGCAAATGAAGCCCGGGATTTAAATATCCTGGGCTTCATTTGCATCTTACCGGGCGCCGCCATTTGTAAAGCCCCGGTAGTTCGGACTCTGTGCCCGCGGCTACACGCGGCACGGAGTAGGTAGTTCGGATTAGGCACTCTAATCCGAACTACCATTACTCCTTGTGGAACGAGGTGTACCGGTAGTTCGGATTAGAGAGCCTAATCTGAACTACCTGCTCCGTGCCGCGTGCACGGAGTCCGAACTACCGGGGCTTTACAAATGGCAGCGCCCGGTAAGATGCAAATGAAGGTGTACCGGTAGTTCGGAATAGGAAGCCTAATCCGAACTACCTAGTTCGTGCCGTGTGTAGCCGCGGGCACGGAGTCCGAACTAGCGGACATTTAAAAATGGCGGCGCCTGGCAATATGCAAATGAAGCCCAGAAAATTCAAATCCCGGGCTTCATTTGCAACTCCAGTTGCCTACATGAACCACCCTAGTTCGAACTAGGGTGGTAGTGTAGACATACCCAAACTGATCCTTGGCCCCGGGTTCAAGAGATCAAATAAATTTACTGCTAGAGCAGAGCTCAGAATTATAATAAGGCCTGATGCCCACTCTAGGTATCAAGCACTCTGAATGAAAGATTGCTAGGGAGGAGGAGGAGGAGGAGAAGAAGAAGAAGAAGACGGCAACAACAGACAAAACAGAGATGATTATAATACAAAGAGAACATTTGGAACCAAAATGCTCAGAAATGCTTGACTAAATTCCAAACTCTTTTCCAGGTCTTCAATACATGCCATTCATCTTGATCAAAAGCCACAAGCAGCTGACCTCTAAGGGATCTTACTCAGTATTTTGCTGTGTACAATTACATAGAATCATAGAACCATAGGACTGGAAGGGGACCTCAAGAGGTCATCGAGTCCAGCCCCCCGCCCTCAAGGCAGGACCAAGCTCCGTCTACACCATCCCTGACAGATGTCTATCTAACCTGTTCTTAAATATCTCCAGAGAGATATATATTTCCTCATATTAAAGTTGAAAGGGAACTCAAGGAGAAATTCTTTCCACCACCATTTCAGAACATTGCAAAGAAGATATTTTCCTAGATTTCAATGTTGCTGTGACAGAGTCAAATTAAGCAAGTATTTGCTTCTGCTGTAGAAAATTTGCAATTATACTTTTTTTATTAAATAATTAATATTATTTGGATATGGTTATTACTGCCATTTGTATTAACATGCAAAATTACAGTAGAATTTTGAAATCAATATAATTAATTGCAGTTACCAGATAGAAAGACCAAGAAATCACAAGTTTTTATTTTATACATATAAAATTTTGTTTGTATCATTGGAAAGAGATGGAAAAAAACACCTACCTCCCAGTCACACACATGGGCTACGTCTAGACTGGCCCCTTCTCCGGAAGAGGCATGCAAAGCAGGCAAGTCAGAATAGGGAAATCCGCGGGGGATTTAAATATCCCCTGCGGGATTTAAATGAACATGGCCGCCGCTTTTTTTCCAGCTTGGGGAAAAGCCGGGAGGATCTCTTATTCCTACTTCAAAGTAGGAATAAGAGATCCTCCGGAAAAGGGCTTTATTCCGGAGGATCGCGCCAGTCTAAACGCTCTTTTCCGGCTTTTCCCCAAGCCGGAAAAAAAGCGGCGGCCATGTTTATTTAAATCCCGCGGGGGAAATTTAAATCCCCCGCGGATTTCCCTATTCTGACTTGCCTGCTTTGCATGCCTCTTCCGGAGAAGGGGCCAGTCTAGACGTAGCCACGATGTCCCAAATAATCTAGACACTCTTCTCCAAGCACACAGCTACCTTGCACACGCATAAACCATTTTTTAAATTTAATGGAAACATAAGTCCCACTTGTCTATTTGTATTTAGGTACCTCACCAGCTTTGAAATTTCCAGCCTTAATCACACCTCCAAGTCACTTATTGAAGCTGCTTGACATATTTGTAGCCATTACAAGACTTTACAGAGAAAATAATACTACATGAATATTTATAGACAGCAGAATAAATGATAACTATACTCTGACATGGAAATTTGGAACTTCTTAATCACAATGTGATTTGAGAGCCATTGCTGAAACATAAGAACGTGCATCTCTTTTTCAAGGCATAGTTCCTTTTCGATAAGAAGTTATACTCAGCTATTCTGTTTGATGGCAATTCGTATCTAGTTGGCCAGAGGTTGGCATCACCACCCTAGCACAGAATCAATTTCAGGTCAGCTCCTGGGTGCGCATGTGGCCTTTGGTGTCTGTAGATGGCCGCACTCCTCCATCTAGTGCAGAGATCATGGACATTGGAGGCATCCCCCCAAACCTCAATCAGGTCCATGATCTCTGCACTAGACCAGGAAGGCACCCACCTTCTCCGACCCGTGACAGGCTCCTGGGAGCTTGGGGACTGGGCCCGGGGAGCAGTGGAGGGCTGGCTGGCACTGGCTGCCTGGCTCATGGTTTGGCCACTGGGTCAGGAGCAGCGACTGCTGGCTCTGGGCTGGCAGGCTTGCAGCTGGCACAGGCACTGTGGCCAGAGTCTACCCTTTTAAGGGCTTCGGTTCTGGGGGAGAGGAGAGGAGTTTTCCTGGTTTGGCCCAGATTGGCCACCAGGGCACACTGGGAAGGGCTGGAGGCCCCCTATTTCAAAATAAGCGTCTACACAGCGTTTATTTCGAATTAGCTATTTCGAATTTGGCGTTATTCCTCGTAGAATGTGGTTCACCAAATTCGACATAAGCGCTCCGCTATTTTGAATTTATTTCGAAATAGCTGTTTGGCTGTGTAGACACTAGGAAAGTTATTTCTAAATAAAGGCTGTTATTTCAAAATCACTTTGCTGTGTAGACGTACCCTAAGTAGCAAGTTTGCAATCATGAACAAAGTGATTTCAAGGAAAGCGCCTTTAATGCACTGCCACTTTCATGTATTTATCAAGAATAACAACAGAGGGATTGATCTAGGCCCTTCAGAAGTTTTGAAGTGCTAGGAGTTCAAAAACGTATAAACAAGAACAATTTAAAATAAACCTGAACTTTATGTAAGAATACTTGAAGGCAAAGTCAAAGCAGGCTTTCACTGAATATTCTCCTCAAAAGGATGAGGTTTGTTTTCACTGACTTTACAAAAACAAACCTCATTTCAAAAGAGTCCCAGGGAGGGACACTGCAGCTTTCATCACTGCCTCCAGAAGTTCCAGACTCAACATGAAAATCCTGGTTGAATAGCATGTCATCAGAGGAGCTGCCAGATTGAATCTCCCAGCAGTCGGGACAGGGCAGGGCTGGCTTTAGGAAGTGTGGGGCCTGATTCGCGGGGGTGGGGCCTCAAATGCACCGTGTGCCTAGGGCTCAGGGCCCCGCGCATGCGCTGCGTGCCCAGGAATGGGGCCCTATTAGGTGCAGGGGCCCCCTCTTAGGTGCAGGGCCTGATTCGGGGGAATTGGCCTAAAGCCAGCCCTGGGCCAGGGGATGGTCTCAAAGAAGTCACTGGGAGTTTTTTAGCTGTTCATCTAGATAGACTACAGTATGTAAATAAAAGCAGATGGGGCTGTGACTAAACAATAAGGGAATTGTAACATTTCATGAATCCTTAAAACCAGAGTCACTTTGGGCAGTTTTATGGGGCCTTGTCACTGCTTCTCTCATACACTCATCTTCCTGGACATTTAGGTCTTGATCTTGCAAAAAGAATTGTTTCCAGATGGGACCCTCCTGCTTGGTTCTCCTGGCAAGATTAGGTCCTATTTTGTCCAAACACAGCTGTCTGCTTGATTTTTTTTAAATTAAAGTTTACAGCACTTCAGTAAAGGTGCCAAATTCTTTTTGCACATTGACTTGGCTCTGGCATGGCTGTAAAGGTGCCTTTTACTAACCTGTAATTTCTGGATGTGTTTGTACCACCTCCTCGAATCCACAGCTTTTGTCCTCCTGAGAAATGACTTCTGGTTTTTCATTGGCAGAGTCAATGGAAGAGTTATCCTTGTCACATCCATTCAAATGGCAGCCATATATCTCTTGGGGTTCTAGTGAAACCTTTTCAGTTCTATCATTCTTTTCTCTAGGATCTTTATTGCCTTGATGCTGTTTAGATTTGCTTCTTTTCCTTTTATTGTTCTAAATTGAGAAATATTGCCAGGACAGAAACATTACTGGGCATAAATCAGATTGACTCAAAATATGAGCAATAAATTGTTCATTCTTTTCAGTTCTGAAAAATGTTTCACAAACTGCAATGATTATAATTATATTTACAGGCCATTAAGTATATGTGAAACGTGATAGTTACAATGTATGGCATATTTACAGACCATATTGTGATACTAGCCAATTAGCCCGTCATAAGACGGGATTTTCAAGTCTCTCCACCACATCGGTCTTCTCTCCTGAGCCTCTGGTCTCTTGCTCCGTCTCTCACTCTCTCTCTCTCTCCCCCTCCTCCTGCCTCTCCCTCTCTCTCTTAGCTCTCCTCTGCCTTCTGCCTCTCTCTACGTCTCTCTCTTTCTCTTCACCCCCTCCTGCCTCTCACTCTGTCTCCACTTTCCTCTGTCTCCATCAGGGATGCATACTTGTCCAGGCCCCGCCCCCGGGCATGTATGTCATTGCCCCACCCCTCTTCGCCTTCTGCCGTGGCACTTGGCTGACTTCTGCCCCATCAACCGGGCTGCAGTGCAGGAGCAAGCAAACGGCTTCTCTCTCTATCATCTCCTCCTACTGCCTCGCCCTCTCTCTCTCTCAGCTCTCGTCCGCCTCCTGCCTCCCTGTCTCTCTCTCTTTCTCTTCTCCCCCTCCTGCCTCTCACTCTGTGTTTCTCTCCTCCTCCTGCTCCTGCGTCTCTCTCACTCTCTCTTGCTGTCCTCCGCCTCCTCCGTTCTCCTCTCTGTCTCCTCTGTGTCCACTTTCCTCCTTTCAAATCCAGTGCCCTTTCCTGACGTCAGAGATGCATGCTTGTCCAGGCCCCGCCCCCTGGCTGTTCCCTCTGGGCAGTGCTGTTGCCTCCCGCCATGGTGCTTGACTGACTTTTAAGAGCTTGGTTCCCATGTGTGTACCCGGTTGACCTGGTAGCCCTACCTGAACAGCAATATAGAGAGATAACACCAAAAGAGATGAATTATCAAGTAAGCTGCACATTTACTTTGAAGCTTTCTGAATGCAAATGTGGATCAAAATAATTTATCATGTTAGCAAATTAGCACAAGATTCAGCAACAATTTGTTGCTATACTCTATTACAGAATGTTGATTAATGGTATTAATATTTTAACTCATAAGAGTGAGGCCTTACCTTCTTTTTCCCTGTCATATTCCATTCTTTTAGTACCTGAACTGCACTACCTACAGTGGGAAAAGAAAAATGCTTCAGCAAGTGTTCAACTGTGCTAAAGAACAACTGTTCTCAAAAATGATTCCTAATCTCCTAAGTAGGAGACATATATTAAGTTTCCTTTTTTTTTTTTGCAAGTGTTTCAAATGTGGGAGAAACAATTTATCTGCTTTATTTACATTTTTATATTCCTCAATGTTATATTTATTTGATTTACAGTTCATGTATAGTTTTTATTATTTGCATCTACCGGTCTCCCTATCTTATAATTAGTGGTTTTTCATCATTCTATTTTGGATATTGGAAAACTTTTCTTAATAATTCTCTAAATAAGACACACTTATGGTAGGAAAACAAGACACAAAGTTGTATAGAATAAGTATATCTATACAACATATCTATAATCTTCTATGGGTACTTTGAAAATCTCTTATGCTTCACATTAGACTATGAAGATGTAAGCTGCTTAACATATATGCTCTTTGTGGCCTTGAATCAGAAAAGCTCTTAAACAGGTGTCTAATTTTAAGTACCTACTTAAGTCCCATTGAAACCATATGCTTAAGTGCTTTGCTCATGTGTTTTAAATTTAGTATTAATTTAGGATAAAGGTAAAGCCTGGTATATTATGAGCAGTACTTACCTCTCTGAGACAGCCTAGTTAGTCTTTGGCGGAGGATTATTTAAAAAGAAAAATATTTACAACTTAACATTTTACTCCCATATCTCTTGTAAAATAGCTGTCATATTCAGAAGACGTGATGGTGAAATAAGAAGGCTTTATTGGCACTTTTTAAGGATGATCTAATTCACTCATCAAAAACATGATCATCCAATTAAACTTTTATAACACACCACATAATTATGTATTTTCTAGGCATACTCTGGACACCCTTTAAATAGGCCTTTCAGACGACTGCTATAGATCTGTTGGAAAAATGTTGATGCATGTGTTTACAGTTTTTGTATTCATCATTTGCTTTCTATATTTTTTATAATTATTTCAGACATCTATTCTAAAACAGAAATATATAGCTATATCCCTACATCTATAAATATGTACTTTTAAAACAACATGTATATAACGTGAGTTACACAGTGGAATACTCAAAATGTCTCTCGTTTATATTGAAATCAGGCTATACAGCCCACCCAGTAGGAGCTGTTTGTTTTTTAATATGCCTAAGCCTTTTGAGACCAGTAAACATGCAGTAACTTTTAAAGCAATCCTAACACCCCGCAGTTTGACAGGATTTCCAACTGGTATTCCAACATAATAAAATATTGGGTTTTTTTACAAACCAAAGGACTTCAATGAGAACTCAAAATTACCAATGTTACATTTTTACAAGGAGAATTATTTAATACAAATGACTTTTCATTTGTCATTAGAGATAGGAGTAAAATTTGAAACTGGCTTCAGATATAGAATGCACCAAGGTTTCATTGAAGACTTGATTCAACACATTATAAAGGTAAAGGCTATTTGTAAAATTCAAATCTATGTTTCAACTTCAATACATAAACACGCACCAAGTTTAGGGGTTCTGGGTATTTGCTTTAGAACCATCCTTGCTTTTTATCATTAATAATAATCTTCTGATATATTCACTTTTATGTTTTCATTCACTTTATATTTAGAGACATTGTAGCTTTTAAAATCACACATTTGATCTTCTCTATTGGTCATTGTTTAGAAGCCATCTCTGAAAGGCTGAACGGGATATGAAAAACAGAATTTTATCTACAGATTGAAGTAACACCAAAGGATCCTGTGTATTTGCACAGAGCCCAACTGTACAAATACACAGTAACAGACAGTTACAGCTGCAACCTATTTATCCATCTCACTTATTTATATGTTCCCTCCAATATCATAGTATCAGAGCACCTCACAATTTTTAATGTATTTATCCTCACAACAGCACTGGGAGGTATGGAAGTGATACTACCCCCATTTCAGAGGTGGGGAACTGAGGCCCAGAGATACTAATTGCCTTGAACATCATCATACAGGAAGTCTGTGGTGGAGTGTGGAACTGATAGTGGCACTCCAGAGTCACAAATTGGTGCCCTAACTACTGCACCATCCTTTCTCTCTAAGATGAGACAAATGAATGTAGCAAACAAGAAAGGTGAGGAGAGAAAGGGAAATGTATGTAATATACATGGTCAGTGTGAGCATAAATTAATCCTTCAAAAACAAGTTAAAATATAAATAAGGAATAGGGTTGCCAGGTGTCTGGTACTGACCAGGACAGTCTGGTATTTTTGCCTCCTGTCCGGTAAAATAATTCAGAAAATACCGGGCACCTAAAATGTTCGGTATTTTCTGATTTTCTGAGCATGTGTAGTGAAACTGAGCATGCTCAGTATGAGCTGCTGTTGCCCTCACTCTGCCGCTACACCGGCAGTCTGTTGAGAGAGGCAGAGACCAGCTCCTGTTCTTAAAGGGGCCATGCTGGGGTTTTTTTAATTTCTTTCTTTCTTTTCTTTTTTTTTTTGCTTAACTCTCTGGGTCCTTTTCCCCCCCC